ACAATTTCTTTATTAAAGTTGGAAAGAGAGAGTCTTGGATTAATTAGTGCTTCACGGCAGAAATAGGCAGGGTGGTGGTACCTACCCGTGCGGACTCACAAGAGATACTACCACCATTACTGGTGATAATTACTTACGCAAATTATAATTTTGCGGGTTTGATTTTTATTACACGATGTTATTCCATCACCATGGAGGTCAATCGTGAACATTTGTTAAGTACGTATTTCATTAGAAAAATTGGTACCCGTCAGCGGGATTCGAACACTAGTGCATCGCTAGGTACGAATGCACCGGACGTCTTATCCGTTAGGCCACGACGACTTCAAAGACACGAAGCTTCTTTCCGAATACATTACAGTCTTCGTGGGCACGGACTACTCTTTCCCACGAAGCTTCGAAACTTCAGAAATAATAAAACTACAATAAAAACGCGAGATTAACCCATTGAGCGCGAACTGTCGATATATCGACTCTCTATTGATGCGTATAAAATGCGGAACGTCGGAATACCGACTATTTGCGCAGTTTGATTATAAGTATTAGGTATCAACCTGTACGGAAGTGTCTAAGCGCGCGTATGTACTTGTATAACGTTACTAATTATAACCATTATTAATATCTATATATTAATACGTAAAGCAAAAACTTTGTATCCCTTTTTACGAAAATTGCGCGGACGGAGGAATATGAAATTTTCCACACTTATAGAGAATATAGAGAAGAAGTGCACAATGCTAATTTTTTTTTTAAATAATGCATGAAAGATACTGTTTGAATTCGGAACGTCAAAGGTGTCAACGAGCGACGTCCGCTATTACGCTTTACCCCTTTCCATTTCCAGCCGTCAAGGGCGACACATCTGTTTCTTATTTCTTATAGTCATTAATTTTAAATTCTTTAACTTGTCACTTATAGATATATAAAAATATCAAACTAATAATACAGTCCACTCTTATTCACTACAACGCAACAGATACATTAAATCAATAAAGAAAACATTACACACACTACTACCATGTATTTGACGCACACACGCATGCATACTATTTATTGTCAAACTTGACGTCTGTTGTCAAATTGAGATTAACTATTGTTTGTCTATGTTAATATTTTTTATAGTCTATTCTTGGTGAAATTTGGGATTATAGAAGTATAAAATACAATCATAATAGTGTACAAACTTACAATTCCAATTAATTATAGTTGAATTTCGACTACTGCGGGACATCTAGTATTAATAAATACACATTTAAAAAAAAATTGCTGTGAAAATTTTATTTATCATTGATTTTTGTATTTTCTTAAGTTAAAGTTTTTTACGAGGTACTTTTTCTCAAAAATCCTATTGCAATTTATGCAAAATATATGAAAATAAGCTCAGCGCTAAAAGAGGTAAACAGTAAAAGTAGTTTTAATCATATTCACCACTCGCCATGATACTGGATATTGATTCATTTTATTATTTCGATGCATTTTACACAAGCAAAACTTTGCGGCGGTTTCCCTGTGAGGTTACAAAATAAAAATGAAATCTCAAAAACAACGTTTTGTATGTACAAGTCATTAATACTTTTTTGTGCAGTCATATAATTATGTACAATGGAAATGAGAAAAAAAACTCGTTTTTTTTTTATTGCTTAGATGGATGGACGAGCTCACAGCCCACCTGGTGTTAAGTGGTTACTGGAGCCCATAGACATCTACAACGTAAATGCGCCACCCACCTTGAGATATAAGTTCGAAGGTCTCAAGTATAGTTACAACGGCTGCCCCAGCCTTCAAACCGAAACGCATTACTGCTTCACGGCAGAAATAAGTAGGGTGGTGGTACCTACCCGCGTGGACTCTCAAGAGGTCCTACCACCAGTAGGTGTCTGATTGAGAGCAGAGATCGCTGTTGAACGTGCCTGGGTTTCACTGGTGACTTTAAATGCTTAAAACACATTAAAACATTTGACATTGTGATACTAATATAGCATAAAAGTCAAAGTATGAAATTATACAGCAAGGAACTCTAGTCTTGCATTCAAACTAGGAAGCCATGTTGCTTTGCGACATATATAGATAAGATATAGATATAGGAGTTCCCCGTAAGGGGTTTCAATGAAAATTTTCCCTTAAAAAGCACTAACACAACATTTTTAAATAATTATGACTCATTTATAGTTGATTAGGATAATATAAATCGAATACTCACCTTGGTAAATACGACAAGCCAATAACCGCCAACAAACGCAAATGCGATATTATTTAATATGACAAATCATTATATACGTTTTCCTGTATCATCATCATTATTTTGATACCACGGATTTTCCTGTAAAAACTTAATCTATACATATAAATAAAATTGGAGTGTCTGTTTGTAATATTGAAATAGCCTCTTTTTACTACATGCATATGAATATACTTAGTCTGGCCATAAATACTGTTACAATTAAAAATAAACAAAATATTACATTTGAATTTGGAATCTGTCATTTTTATATGATTGCTCATTTTGTTTTCTCATTTTGGCGCCAATACATTGTACAATATTTTGCGATATTAAAATGGAGTGGGGTTATAAAGAGAACCGAATCACTGTGATTGCATTACACAAAGTAGGTATGGAGCCAAATGCAATTTTTAAAACTCTCCATACGCTTGGTATTAGTAAAATGTTTGTATACCGGGCTATTAATAGGTGCAATGAGACCTTTACAATAACAATCTGTAAATTTTCAAATATTGGAGATGGTAATTCTTTGGATAGCAACAATTCCTTGGATAAGATAATAGTTAGTTTTCGTTTGACGAAACATCAAATTGATTCCCAATTAAAAGCATTTTCATCTTCATTATGAAAAATCTTATATTTTATTATTAAATTGCCGCTTTTAGAAGAAACAATGATTGAAACAGGACTGGTATTGTTAAAATTCGTGGGCTTCTCATTGTGACATTTCCTTTGTACAAGTGGCTTTTGTATTCTGAACAAAGAAAATACAGCAAATCTTCGAATAAATACACCTGGCTAATAAGAAAAACTGGGATTCTTTAGTTCGAGTCTTTCATTTAATTTGCTTTACATGCTGTGCTAAGACTTTTTTAGGTTTTGTAAATATTTAAGATTCCATAATATTGTCTAAAAATAAGGTAACCAAAAGTACAAAACTTTTATACCAATTTTTTATTGTCTTTAATATCTATATATTAATACGCGAAGAAAAACTTTGTATCCCTTTTTACGAAAATTGCGCGGACGGAGGAGTATGAAATTTTCCACACTTATAGAAAATATAGAGAAGGAGAAGGAGTGTTAATATTTTTTTAAATTATGCCTAAAAAATACATTAAATCAATAAAAAAATACATTACACACACTACCATGTATTTGACGCACACACGCATGCGTACTATTTATTGTCAAACTTTTGTTCTTGACGTCTGTTGTCAAATTGAGAATAGATTAAATATTGTTTGTCTTTATTAATATTTATAGAGAATATAAAGAATAAGTGCACAATGCTAATATTCTTTTTAAATAATGCACAAATGATACATTAAATCAATAAATAAAACATTACACACACTACATACCATGTATTTGATGCACACACGCATGCATACTATTTATTGTCAAACTTTTGTTCTTGACATCTGTGGTCAAATTAAGAATAGATTAAATATTGTTTGTCTTTATTAATACTTTTATATACTGTAGTCTAGGCGAAATTTGTGATTATACAAGTATAATAGTCTTTGAAAATAGAATGATAATAGTGTATAAACTTACAATTTCAATTAATTATAGTCAAATTTCGACTACTGCGGGACCACTAGTACTACTAATTTGGTTATTATTATATTATATAAATTCGGTCGGTCTCATTTTTTACAGTCCAATCGTTGCCCCACACCTCCAAGCGAAACCCATTCATTAGGTACTTATTAGAGGGTATGGTAACCACTCAAGACTAGAGACCACTCGAGATCACGTATTCGCATCTTAAATAAGTAAAATAATATAAAATTCACCCACGGTCTTTAATTTCCATTTGAATCCTACTTATGGAGGACATCGGTTCTAAAATAATTTTATTAGGAACTGGTGTCATTTAGTTTGCGCTCAAGCTTAAAACAATATCTAAAATGAACAATCTAATAAAAGAATCGATGACTCCCTTCCCTATTAATGTGATATTGGGAATGAATTATGTATGAAAGTGTTGACAAGAAATTCTCTAAAAGGTCTAAATCCTGCTTTTGCTTCGCGGCATTGCTGATGTACATGAGCAACGGTGATCATTCAATATCAGGGCGGTATGATCGTCAGCCTATACGGTCATAAAAGAGATTAGATGCTATAAGGAAATAGCAATAGTGACTCAAAGTGACCAGGACAGAATACAAGTAGCTTCTAATTAAAACATACGAGTTGAATATTTATTATCTTAATGATTTAGAGATCATAATAACATTTTACTGGAACTCTTCAAACTTCAAATTGAAATGCAAACCTTATTATTTTACGGATATAGTAATAAAAACGGGGCTTCTATTTAAATCGATTGTGAGAAAGCACGGGTATCGGAAAAATTCTAATTCTACGTAATCATTAAAATTAAGGTGTTGCCTTTGCCAACCTCATTGTTGTGTGATCAATTGATTGGCTTTTGTTTTTTGTTAGCGATTCACGCCGACTTATAGATTTTTCTTCACTTCTCGCCCTCTAGGGAACATTTTCCGGAGAGCTAAACTTTTATTTTTATTATAATAGCTGGGGACGATAACACAATTTAAGACTCTTATCGTAAGGTGGATCGCATCATTTAGACTCCTTTAGTCCCCGTAGTGCTGAAAATATATGTATAATATTTTCCATCGTGATCAAAAATCCAATGTCCCGTGGGCGTCTTTTGAAGAAAATGAAGCGTGGATAAAAAAGTCTCATACGTATAAAAAAGTATGATGTAAAGTGTAAGAATATTTTAATATTTCTTTTACAAAAGTGATTAGCGAGGGATGTCTACAGAAATATCAGCTATAATATAAGCTACCGCTGTCCAAAATGCTGCTCCGAGATCGAGCTCTTCAGGACTTTCTACGTTCATTGTATCACCTTCTGTGTGATGGAACCAAAAATATTTTTCATTTTCATTGTGAAGGCTTGCTCCAGGGATTCCTGTTTTTATAATAACACTTATATCAGAACCAGGACTATCGTCTTCAATTAAAGTTGAAGCATTTATAGATTCGAACAGCTTAAGTACTTCCGCAACGATGCACCTGGCTTTATCAGTTCCTGCCACGATCAAACCTAACGGAGCAAAAGTACCTTCATCAGACTCCATAATAAAATTAATATTGTGACTTTCGTTTCGGTGCGTTTCTTCATAAGCGTATGCGCCAACCAAGCCTAATTCTTCTGCTGTCCAGAAAATGGATCTAACAGTCCTTTTTGGTATAAGGTTCAATCGTTTCAAAATGACCGGAGCTGCCCAGCTAATGAATAGGCCACCGCCGTCATCCATGGCTCCTTGTCCAACATCCCAGCTATCAATATGACCTGAGACGATTACTAATTTCTCAGGATGAACACTCCCTTTCAGATCAATTATAGTATTTCTTGATACTTTTGTGTCAAGTGTTGAACTCATTTTGATGTTCAATACAATATTTTCGCCTCGATCGTACATTCTTCGTATAAGATCGGCGTCTTCTAAAGTGATAGCCGCTGTGGGAATTTTATTCGCTTCATCGCCGTATGTCTGCGATCCGGTGTGAGGGGAATTTATAGAAAAAGGCGCTATGGATCTCACCAACGAAGCAACGGCCCCTTTGGCGGCAGCTTTAGTAGCACCCTGCGTTCTGTATTGATTTGTTTCACTGTACGTTGTGAAAATTGGGTCGTATAAAACTATCTTTCCTCTGACATCTTCATCGAGGGCTTTGTCTAATTGATCGTAATTCTCGAATACTATAACTTCGGCAGTAATCCCTTCTGGTGGAGTACTTGCACTGCGTCCTAAGCCCAGCAAACTTATGTCTTTGACTCTAGGTTCGAGCATTGTTATTTTTTCTTCACCTCTGACCCAATGAGGAACCTGTTGATACAAAACGAAATTTGAAAAATCAAGCCTTCGTAACATCAATATTGTTTTATTCTTATCCTAAAAGCTTTGTTTTTAAAATGGTGTCTCAAAATATTGAATTGATTTTACAGATAAGAAGGAACTTTCTGTCCATTGTCTAATTACTCTATGGCTTGATAGATTGTTAAATTGTAAAATGTACTTAAGATTTATTTATTGAAATGAAATAATAATAAAATCAGTTCTGTATTAGCATAAAGAAAATAAATTTTCACTCACCTCTAATTCTTCAGTAATAATATCATTTATATCTTCTTCGCGAGTCAACTCGATCATATAATCAATTGAACGTTCCAATACTTCAGATCCCGAAGGTCGGGCCCCGAACTTATCAACAAATTTGGCCAATCTGCAAAAACAAACACTTCTATATTGTAACTTTAAAAATGGTATTCAATTCGTTTTATTATTAGGCTCATAGGATTGTAAAAAAAATTCAAATAAATCATCATGTTAGTAAGTACTCACTGATCATAGGTTTGACCTTTAAAATCACCTTGTAAGACATAGTTTAAAATTTCGTCTTTAACTTTCTCGTAAGACAATATCTCAGCGATCAATTCATCGCCCAGTAAATGTTGGCATCTATCTTCGTGCTTCGGTAGTTGTTTGGCTAAGCACACACTTAAACTCAAAGAGAATAGAATTACTGAGAGGAAATTCATTTTCCGTCAGATGCCTATGAGGCATTGAGAGGCCGCGACGAACTGCAATCTTTATATAGCGCTTCTATCTTATCGATCGGTGACAATACCAGCATCTCTAAAACGCTTGTCTACAATAATCGACTTAAGTTTTGATAGACGTTTGATAATAGTGAGAGTTTGGTGAGGACATTGCGCATAGAATTACTAGACGTATCTTATCAGCATTCTTGAAATTTGAATTGTTATTTCACTTGACGGCTTTTTACAGTCGATAAAATCTTTGAAGAGAATAAATATGAGTATAAACTCTGTTTTCGAAGCGTATAATTCTAAAGTTCAAGCGGCAATCAAGTAAATTGATTTTCGTTAGTTCACAATTGAATTTGTAAAAAATTCAATTTGGGTCCGCAATAAACTTTACGTTTAAAACTTTTTCATATTGATCAACAATATGTTAATGTTTAACATATTGAGGAATGGACTTCTTATTTCGTCGTGTTCAGTTTTTTTAATGATTTTAATGTCACACACCGCAATACCAAATTATTATTTTAAGTCGGTTCTTTGTCTCACCATCCCCATAAAGATGACTAATGAGGGATTTATGATTTATTTATTTATAAAAAAAAAATATTTATTTATTATAATGATCAACATCCCCCATTCGTTACCCAAATGTTCATCTACCTAATCCAGCCATAAGTTCTGTTACAAATGAAGATGCATGTTTTTTTATAAAGTAATGTAATATTATTAAAATTTATACCTACATATTTACTAGTCTCAGCAAAAAAATATATATATTCAAAATGAAATGGCAAAACATCGAAAGAAGTTTTTAAAATAATATAAATGTTCCAAATTCAAAATAATTAAAAAGTTGAAAATAAGAAAAGTTTTTATGTAACAGTATTTATGGCAAAACTAGTTAATAAGTGCGACTGTGCTCAGCCTACGGGTTTGCCGTGGTCCTCCCAATGTCATACGAATGCATAGTAACATGAAACAATCTGAAAACAAGGTAAACAATGTAAGTACTAAGTCATCAGATGCAGTTACTATTTTTAAATTTTGAATTATATTTGAATACAAAAACATGATATATTTAACGGCCGTCTGGTGTAGTGGTAAGTGACATGGTCACTACACAAGGGGGTCGCGGGTTCGAAACCCGCCAAGGTAAGATATTTGTATGATAAATATAAATGTCTTTTCCAGGGTTATGGATGTATATTAAATATATGTATGTGTATAATAAAAATCTTACATTTATTTCCGTTATCTGGTACCTGTAACACAAGTTCTTTACGAACTTATCACGGGACCAGTTAACGTGGCGTGATTGAAAAAAAAAAAAAAGAAAAAAAAAAATATATGTATAATATATACATATAATTTTTTCCATAATTAACTTTTCATTTCACGAATGCTTTTTGTTTTTTCATTTCCTGTTATTGTAACCAGATTAATAAAACTGAAATCCATATCTAAACGATTTTTTACATTTAAATGTAACAACAAGTTAAACACTTTCCAGTTTTAGTACACAAATATACGACATTTAAAGTTTTATTTTTTGTATATGTCTATTGAAAATGGCTTATATTATTAATATACATATATTTTTTCAATAAGTACACAATTACTGTAAGTGGAATTTCTTTACTGTATAAATTGTTCTGAACGTCTTAACGGTAATATATGCGCAGCTTCATGCTCTTCTAACTGCTTAGACAAACAAAGCATTACGTCAACTAGGCGATTTGTTGCTAGACTCAACGCACACAACATTACAAGATGTTACGTCCTAACAAAATTCTAAAATATAAAATTAATACAAAATATAATTACACACAAACAAACAAAACAACTATTAATTACAATGAATGAAAACCGCGCGCTTTAACTAGTGATAGCTTCTTAATGACCATATAAGGTAATCGTTGGTACCGGAAATCAAGTTCTTTCTGGAACATCCGATAAGAAGCTCCCACAACGTAGGTGTCTAGAAATTTCGAAAACAAAATACAATAGCGATTAATGGATCAAAGAACTTTCTAAAATATAAAATTAATACAAAATATAATTACACACAAACAAACAAAACAACTAGTGCCTCAATCGATAAATAAAATACCTAAACTTTTGTATAAAATAAACTTAAAACAAACAAAAGGAATCCGTCCGACGGGGGACACATCAAAGGAAAAACAAAATTGTTATTTTTATTTAATTCGCAGCATTTTCATATTTATCTACCTTTTAAGCCTTCTCTGGACTTTCACAAATAATTCAAGACCAAAGTTAGCCAAATCGGTCCAGCCGTTTTCTAGTTTTAGCGAGACTCTCTCTTCTCTGTCGTTTCCTCATTACTGAGGGTCGTGACCACCTTGGTCCAGTTTTTGCACCAGTTTCCTCCAATGCTGCCTGCATTCGGCCTGCTTAATGGCGCCCGGGACGCTGGCGAGACTAACAGACAGCAATTCATGTTTTTATATATAGACTAGCTGACCCGTCAGACTTCGTAGTGCCTCAATCGATAAATAAAAGATCTAAACTTTGGTATAAAATAAACTTAAAAGAAACAAAAGGAATCCGTCCGACGGGGGACACATCAAAGGAAAAACAAAGTTACAATTTTTATTTAATTCCGAGCATTTTCATATTTATTTACCATTTAAACCTTCTCTGGACTCTCACAAATAATTCAAGACCAAAATTAGCCAAATCGATCCAGTCGTTCTCGAGTTTTAGCGAGATTAACGAACAGCAATTCATTTTTATATAATATATATATATAGATATAGATAGATAGATTGACTGTATTGTTTATTATAGAATGATGTATAATAGAATAGGAAATATAAGTATACGAAGTAGGAAAGGAAATAAAGATAGCGCTTAAATATTATAGATTAGATATTAAACAATTATATTGAATGGAAAGGTTATGATTCTGCTAATCAGCTATTTTGGGGTCAATTTTTGCTTTCTTGTCAAGTTTCCCTTTTATAATGTAATTCCTTTATCAACTTTCGAGTTGCGGCTCGTATTTTTTATTACGTTCAGAGAGAATACCCATTAAGTCCCTTATCTTTGTTACGTTTGGTTTGTTGTTTCAAAAAATTCACTAGACCGCTTTTTACGACATTTTTATCGTTTGCACATAGAATTTTATTTTCACTTTTGCGTACATACTTTAAGCGCCTCCTTTTGTTTTTATGTATTTTGTGTGATCGGGTTTCTTGTAATGATATCTTTGGTGATCGCAAAAAACGTTTTAACAAATAAATCACGTCTTTTTTTTCGTATTTTCCCAAATTATTTTAACCGTGGTGACTATCGCCAAACACAAGGGGGTCGCGGGTTCGAATCCCGCCAAGGGAAGATATTTGTATGATAAATATAAAATGTTTTCTCCAGGGTTATGCATGTATATTAAATATTTATGTATGTTTATAATAAAAATATTACATTTGTTTCCGTTATCTGATACTTGTAGCACAAGTTCTTTACGAGTTAACGTGGTGTGATTGTTAGTAAATATTTATATAAATTTATTTATAGCTGTACAAGGCTCAACTCAATGAGAAAAAATGTCTCAACGTACCGGTACTCTGTAACCTATTGTTACGCGCTAGGGCTCGGGATAAATAAAATTCCACCGAAGTATAAATTTAAAACTGTATTCAATACTTATAACACTTAGAACACCTCACAAACACTTTAAAATTCTCAATTCGCTTCTTCCGCTTCGCTTCAGGCGATCCGTTCGCTGCTTCGCTTCGAGTAATATCCCTAGAAATATCGAGAATATACCACACATCTCTAGTATTGTGTTTCCGCTATCTGACAATAGATGGCGTTGTACTTCTCGAGCGTTCTAGGTGCTACTAAATCCTTAGATATTCGTTCGCCTATTCGGCGATAGATGACGCTACTCTTACTGATGTGCTTATATTACTTCGACGGTAAGTTTATTTGAATTGTAACTCTAAAGACTGCTTGAAACAGTTATTGACCTATGAATCTAGCGGTGCAAGTTTTACAATTTAATAGCAATTAATAATCATAAGGCGTATTCACGGTTTTTGTTCTGATAAAAGTGCTTGTAGATCCATTTTACAAGTGAAAAAAGGGTATGGCCATTCTCTTCTTACGCAAGGAAGTGAAGTGGGAATACTGTAATAATCCAGCAATCATTCAAAATCCAAGCTTAGTAATTAATAGAGTCCATAAATATCAGCGAATTTGAAACATGAAGATTTAAAAACAAGCATTCCAACTCCAAATAGGAACACATCGTTCGACGAAAATAGTTTGGGAGTTCAATGACGAACTGTTTGTGCGTGTTACTTGAGCACAATGAAATGTTCGTCTTCAAACGAGGTTTGAAAAGAGTCTTAAGCTGTAACTTCCGTCTCAGCCAGAACCGGTCATCGTTCTCGTCGAACCCGTCGCTTGCGACGAAGGGCTCGACGAGTAAATTAACTCTCACACTGAGTTTCTCGCCGGATCTTCTCAGTGGGTCGCGTTTCCCATCCGGTGGTAGATTCTGCGAAGCACGGCTCTTGCTAGGGCCAGTGTTAGAAACGTCGTCAGGTTTGAGCCCCGTGAGCTCACCTACTAGTTAAGGGTTCCGCTAAAATAGCCTCTCAAGGTTATCAGCTAAGGTAGGAAAAAAAAATGTATTATAAATACATACACAATATATAGGTACATACATACATAAATACATACATATAATAGTTTATACAATATTAAAAGGAATATATTAATAAATTCTCTTAACAAATAACTTCATCTTAATAAGTTCATGACGATTCCGCTAACTTTTCTAAGAGCATTTGCCGAACCCTTAACTTGAACGCGCACCGGTTAGCAATGGTCATGATCTCGAGAGGAAGCGCATTGTTGTATACCAATTTCCCTTCCGGTACAGTTCCAAAAAATTGTGATCTAATTAAAAGTAAAAAGTCGTTAAGAAAGATGATTCGAGCATCATTTCGACAATGCTT